TGCTCGTGCTCCCGCGGGCTTTGTGGGGTGCTCCTCGGCGCCACGGCCGGGTTCGCCTCGAGAAGCGGGGTCGGGACGGACCCCGGGAGGGGTTTGGGGGGCCGAGTCTCGGGGCTCAAGAGGCCCAGACCCCCTCGCGTTGTGGAAAAATTGCGACGGGAGGTTTCTCGCTCTTTTCGGCCTCCAGGGGCCCTTCCCCGGCCTCGGGACCGTCGAAAGACGACTCGGGATGAAAAACCGGTCCCCGGGAAGGGGTCCAGACTTTTGGGGGTCCACGCTGCGAAAAAAAAGTCACGACGTCGGGGGTCTGGAGATGAGGGCCACTGCAAACGGGAGCCAGTCAGAGCGCCAGATCTTGCAGGACCCTGCAGCGCCAGGGGTGCATTGACCCAGGGCTTGGGCGCAGCAGCCAGCAGGAGCCTGCAGGACCCCGCAAAGCCTCACCGACCCGGATCGGAATTGACTCGGGCCGGCAGATCCTCGAGATCGCGAGCGCATTTGGGCCAGGCGGGAGAGCGGCGCCGTCGTCTCAGCCAGCCTTCCTCCGACTTGCTTGCGGTGTGCGCGCAGGGGTGGCTCAGGAGGAAAAAAAAAAAAAAAAAAAAAAAAAAAAAAAAAGTAATCGTCGATTCCCAAGAAAATATGGGAAGATATGGGAAGTGGGGGGGGAGACAGAAACCCAGAAAATATGGGAAAAGCTGGGGGATCCTGTCATTTCTGTGTATTTACTTGTGTGTCCCAGGGCCCCTTCAGGGGCCCTTCGCCAGGGTGGCCTCTGGCGCCGGCCCGCCGGGGGGGGGGGGCCCGCCCGCGGGGCCCGCCCGCGGGGCGGGGTGCAGTGGCGGCGGCCTGCGCGCTCTGGCCTGGCCCGCCTCCATTAGCCTGAAGTCGGGCATGTCCCTCGACAGGAAAAGTCTACAATAGTCCAAAAGTGGTCGGGGGGCGATGTTTTTGCTCTTGTTGGGCAGTTTGGGGCGATGCTTCGTCCATTAATCTGCCTGCAGGGGGGCGTGCCCGAGCTGACCCTGTCCCCCCCCCAAGCCGCGCACCAAGGCTCACTCTTGCCTGGGGCCACCCGTGCGTGCAGCCGCCTCCTCTCCCTCCTCCGCGCCCTCCTCGTACCCCAGTTCCTCATCCAGTCATAAGTTGATCAGGCTTGCCCTATTTTCGAGCCCGGCGACCCGTGTCTCCGACCTGGCGTATTCACCGCCTCCAGGTCGAGTGCGGCAGGTCTGGAGGTCTCCCGTCTTCAGGGCGCACTTGCAGTAGGAGCATCACTCCCTGAATCCTTGAGATCCGACGTCGCGAAGATATCACGACCAGAGCCGCGGTCCCTATCCTTGTGCGGCGCTTCTCGGGCCAGATCCTCCTGTGAGGGCCCTGGGGCCCGAAATTGGGCGAGAAAGCCGGGTGCGAAAAAAATGGCGACGCCCAGATCTCCTCAGGGGCAATGTTAGGAAGATAGGTTCAGAGGGGGATACATCGACCACCACTCGCCCAGTCATCGCCGATGGGGACTCGCTAACCCGCCCCGTCCAGGAACGTGCGGATTCGCCATCCCAGGCCTATCGCCGATCTATCGGCGATGCACCGCTGATTCCAGCTCGATGGCTCCCCCCCTGTGCCAGCGCCCCCCCTAACGTTGCCCATCATCTTGGGGTCCCCCTCTGCTCCTCCTGCCAGTCCTCCGCCTCCTCCCTCCTCCTCCTCCTCCTCCTGCCTCCTCTCCTCCTCCTCCTCCTCCTCCTGCTCCTCCTCCTCCTCCTCCTCCTCCTCCTCCTCCGCCTCCTCCTCTTCTCCTCTTCTCCTCTTCTCCTCTTTTCCTCCTCCTCCTCCTCCCCCTCCGCCGTGCCCCCCGCCGCCAGTACCAGAGCGACTCCGACGACGCGGAAGCCACGGCGGGCCTCTCCCGCCCATGCCCCTCCGGCCGCTGCCTCTGCCGATCGCGGGCCCGCGCGGCTCGAGAGCGCGCGGGGGTCAGAGCCCCTCGGACCCCCTTGCCCTTTGCGCCTTTTGGACCCTTCGTGACTCGAAGGGCTGGGGGAGCGGGAGCAGAGGGTGATGGGCCCATGTGCCACCACCCCCACCATAGGCAGGAGAGGGAGGAGGAGGAGGAGGAGGAGGAGGAGGAGGAGGAGGAGGAAGAGGGAGGAGGAGGAGGGAGGAGAAGGAGCAGAGGGTGATGGACCACTACTACCATAGGTAGGGAGAAGAGGAGGAGGAGGAGGAGGAGGAGGAGAGGAGGAGGAGAGGAGGACGAGGAGGAGGAGCAGAGGTGATGACCACTACTACCATAGGTAGAGGAGGAGGAGGAGGAGGAGGAGGAGGAGGAGGAGGAGATGAGAGAGGACGGAGGAGAGGAGGAGAAGAGGAGGGGAGGAGGAGGAGGAGGAGGAGGAGGAGGAGGAGCAGAGGGTGGTGGGCCCATGTTCCACCACCACTACCATAGGTAGGAGAGGGAGGAGGAGGAGGAGGAGGAAGAGGAGGAGGAGGAGGAGGAGCAGGAGCAGGAGCAGGAGCAGGAGCAGGAGCAGGAGCAGGAGCAGGAGCAGGAGCAGGAGAAGCAGCAGGAGCAGGAGGAGGAGGAGGAGGAGGAGCTCATCCCCTTCTCCCCTGTCCTACATACGGTAGTGGTGGTGGAAAGTTTGCCCATCAGAGGGAGGAGGGCGGGCGGAACAGGAGGAGGAGAGGAAGTTTGCTTCGGTCGCCCTCGAAGGCGCGACACAGCTGCCAGGTGGGTGCCGCCCCCATGGGAAACGGCAGCCGAGATGAGGAGGATGGAGCGGGAGGAGAAGGAGGAGGACCAGGAGGAGGAGGAGGAGGAGGAGGAGGAGGACGACGACGACGACGACGACGACGACGAGGAAGGGAAGAAGATGGGGAGAAGCATGTGGAGGGGTTTACGGCTTACCAAACACCTCGTGCCGCAAGTTTGTTCACAACGCGATAGGGATTTGGATTTGGGGGTCAGCAGAAATCGATTTGAGACATTTCCCGCTGTGCGTTCTGACCATAATTTCGAGGTCAAACTAGCCATGGCGACGAGAAGTGTGGGGAAGCTTTCCTTTCCTCTGCTCCTCCTCCTCCTCCTCTTCCTCCTCCTCCTCCTCCTCCTCTTCCTCCTCTTCCTCCTCCTCCTCTACCCCATTCCAATATTCTCGCACAGATACCGTGTGGCGAACGCCCTCCATGAGTTATCCTTCTGGTGGCTTGGCGCCTCGTCCTCGAAGCCCCTCATCTTCATCTGGAGCCTCCTCCTTTTCCCTCCTCCTCCTCCTTTTCCCTCCTCCTCCTCCATCACCTCCTCGTCCTCTTCCTCCTCGTCCCTGGTCCTGAACGGGTACGCAAAGAGGTGGATAGGTGGAAACACAGAGCAGGATAGATGAAAAGAACTGCGTGGGATGACTTATACTGCGATATCTGGATACGGAATGGAGGGATAAGATTCACCGAGGGTGGGAGGAGGACAAGGAGGAGTTTGACGAGTGGGCTCTTGAACATCGAGTTGGAGTCCAAGAGCGTGCTGCCCTCTGACTGGAACGCCGTTCTCGCCGGGTCGTAACTCATGCGGCCGTGTAAAACAAGAAGAAGAGAACGCGTAACCTTCGAGGAAATGGAAACATGGAAGAAGGAGGACATGGATCGTTTCAGCTTGCTCTTAGACGTCAAAGGCGACAGCTGTAGTATTATCAGTTGAGCTCGTGGCGTCGCCCGAATCACCTGGCCTGCCAGAAAAGGGTCAGGACCATCAAGAACACCTTCCACCAGCTCATGAGATGTTGGGGAGTTGTAACAGCTGACGTTGGTGATGACTAGTTCAGACATGTTCAAAGAGAGCACAACCAGCTATCCCCAGTCGCCCACTGATCGCCGATGCGCCCACTGATCGCTGAGAGAGGCGTTCGACCCCCTATCGGAAGCTGATCGCCGATGCGCCGATGGGGGTCTGACAGCCCAGCCTGTCTAGGAAGGCTGCGGTTCCGCCATCAAGAGCCTATCGCCGACACATCGGCGATGTGCAGCCGATTCCAAGTACATGTTCTCCCCATGCAGGATCTCGTTCGATCCGATCGATGACGATCGATCTGACATCGATTCCAACCGATCCGTTCCAATTCGATTCCTACATTATGGTTGTTCGATGTTCCGTGCTGAGACGGCCCGATCTGACGCACGTCTTGATCCGATCCGATTTCCCGATTCGATGCTGATCGATCTCGCCCTGAGCCGGCCAACCCTTGCCGAGGAGGAGGAGGAGGAGGAGGAGGAGGAGGAGGAGGAGGAGGAGGGACGAGGAGGGACGAGGGAGGAGGAGGGAAAAGGAGGAGGGAGGACGAGGACGAGGACGGAGGAGGAAGAGGAAGAAGAGGAGGAGGAAGAAGAAGAAGAAGGAGGGGGAGGGGGAGAAGGAATAATAAAAAGAAGAAGAATAAGGACAAGAGGGAGGAGGGCGAGGAGGAGGAGGAGGAGGAGGAGGAGGAGGAGGGAGGAGGGAAAAGAAAGAGGAGGGAGGAGAAGGAGGAGGGAGGAGGAGAAGGAGGAGGGCGGTGCCCCCCCCCCTGAGCACGCCACCCGCCGCAGGCCTCCTGCACGGGCTCCCTGGACTGGCGCTCGCTCCCGGAGCTGCCAGCGAGGGGGCAGGGCTACTGGCCGCCCGCTCAGCCGGCGGGAGGCCTCGCCCCCCTCCCTCCCTTCCTCCCCCCTCCCCCCACTCCCCCACATCCTTCCCTCCCTTCTCCTCCCCCTCCCTCCCTCCCTCCCTCCCTTACCCCCATCCCTCCCTCCCTCCCTTCTCCCTCCCCATCCTCCCTCCCCTCCCCCCTCCCTCGCTCGCTCCCTTCTCCTCCCTCCCCCCCATCCCTCCATCCCTCCCTCCCTTTCCCCCCATCCCTCCCTTCTCCTGCCCATCCCTCCCTCCCTGCCCCCCCCCCCCCTCCCTCGCCCCCCTCCCTCACTCCCTTCTCCTCCCCCTCCCCCCCTCCCTCCATTCTTCCCTGTTCATGCCGCTAGCGACGCAGATGTGCAGGCAGATCTTCCACTTTGTGGCTGTCTTGTGCAGGTTCCCGTCCGGGTCGTTCCAGTGCCGGGACTTTTTCGCGTTTTTCGCGTTGCACCATTGGTCAGGACCGCACATTCGATCTCCGCTTGCCTTTTCGACTAGGTGTCTGATTCGTTCTTCTCTCGATGCGTTGGCAGTTGATGGGCGTTTCTTGGCCTTCATGCGTCGCACAGTGGCGGACATGGGTGACGGCCGCTCGTTATGGTTAACGCACTGTGACAATGTGTTTCCGCGCTTCTGGAAGATGCGGTCGTTCGCCGAATACCTGGCCGACGTTGCCACTGGTCGACCTTTGAATCGTTTTCATGCGGGCGATTCGTTTAAAGATGCCGTGGCTGCCGCACGTGTCTTACCAGCTGACGCGCGTTGGCGTCCGCAGTGCCTGGCGCACGCACAGCTCACACATCACTTGCTCCCTCCATTGTTGATCCCGCTGTTCGAGTCGAAACCGCGTCGATGGTGGCCTCTACGCCAAGATGAAATTGTTGAGATTCCTTGAGACCAAATTCGTGCACATCTTGCCTCAATTCCTATTTCCTGGGCTTTCTCATTTCTCCGCACTATGTCTGGAGGGTGGTTGACAAGCTTCCTAATCGCGCATCCTCGTGGACAGTTGCGGTGTCTCGTTGGGAGCAAGAGCTGCTGGGACCAACAAGCCCATTATGCATAATGTCCAGTGATAGATTTGGTTTATACCACAGAGACGGGCGCTTTCCTCCCTACAGACCCTTTAGAACGTTGGGGCTGAAAGTAATGAGCGAGGCCATTGTGAAGTTCAGATTTGTCTCATGTGCAGCTTATCATCGGATGCGCTTCGCGAGCTCGGCGGAGGTGCATGCGGTGCGTGATGTGGTGATTGCCGGTCTTCGCTCGCATTGCCTTGCCAAGATTCACCCCGATCGTGAATGACCGCTTGAGTGTTCATATCGACACCATCGTGACCAGCCCTGCACTCCAGCCACATCCACCTGTTCTTGCGCATACTGGTGGCGATGCACCCCTGAATGAGAGTGCGCGACCCCCAGAACTCCGCCTGCGGACGTTGAGGTGGACCAGCAGGTGCTCAGAAGGGCTGAGGATACGCAACATGAGGCTGATGACGATTCACTGGTTTTGTCGTACTCCCCTGATGTAGACATCGGTGATCTTGCTGAGCTACACCCGCACCGTCTCAGTCTTCCACCCGTGCCGGCCCTCTCGGCGCCGTGGGCGAGGAGACCCGCGCTCTCTCCGACGCTCGATCCCTCCCTTCCTCCCTCCTCCCCCATCCCTCCCTCCTCCTCCCTCACTCCCACCCTCCCTCCCTCCTTTTTTCCCCCTCCTCAATTCGCCCACCCTCCCTCCTCCCTCCCTCCCTCCATCCCTCCCGCCCTCCCCTCCTCCTCCCCCTCCTCCCCCCTCCTCCCACCTCCCTCCCTCCCTCCCTTCCTCCCTCCTCAATTTGCCTTCCTCCCTCCCCCCCCCTCCCTCCCTCCCCCCCTCCCCCTTCTCATCCCCGGCCTCCCCACCCTCTTCCCCTTCCATCCCTCCCCCCATCCACCTCTTCCCCCCTTGTCAATGTTTCCCTCATCAATAACTCCTCCCTCTCGCACCCTGAGGCCAGTCGGAAGGGCGGGCCGGGCGTTTCGCCTGAGACTACAAAAGTTCCGCCGATGGAGGGCGGGAGGGCGGGTCGCCTCCAAAATGTGGCTCTCTCCGCAGCGTTGCGCACACTCGTTCGAAGAGATTGCAAGAGCTTCCCGGAGTGAGGGCGGGTCGTTTTCGAAATGTCGCTGTCGACTTAGCGCCGCGCACACTCGGTGTAAATATTTGAAAGAATTCCATGGGTTGAGGGCGTTTGTTTTCCACATGTGGTTCTCGCCTTTGCGTCGCGCCCCTTCGTTTTGTCAGATTTGCAAGTGTGTCACGGATTGAGGGCGGTTCCTTTTCATCAACATGTAGTTCTCGCCTTAGCGCCGCGCACGCTCGTCTTAAGAATTCGCAAAAGCCTCACGGAGTGAGGGCGGCTCTTTTTCAAAATAATGCGGTTCTCGCTTTAGCGCCGCGCAAGTTCGATTCAAACATTTGCAAGGGTTTTACTGATTCTACTTGCTACCGTACCAGAAATGGCGTGTTGGAACGATTCGGGACGATCTGGGCCCAACAGTTACGTTGATTCGCGGTGGTGAAGTCCCAGGAATGGTGTTCTGGCACGCTTCACGATCATCAAACGGTTGTCCCCCAACGGGGCAGCCCCCTCAGTGGAAATCAATACTCCTAGGGGCCTATGAGAAGGGAGTTTCGAGGAAGGGTTTCTTCCAACATCGCTGGTGAGGCTTCTGCTTACAGTGGTCGTCCTCCTCCTGCTCCTCCTCCGCCCGCTCGGCCGGCGGGAGGGAGACCCCTGACGCCTCGATTTGTCGAGCCGAGCGTTTTCGCATAAAAGGTCGTTGGTTCTTCCGATCTCTCTGAGCCGTTCGCATGGCAAGGATGAGCGGTTCTTGTGATACAGGCCTCGGAAAAAATTAGCGAACATTCATGCCACATTCATCTGTGAACGCCTCCCCCTTCCCCCAATGTTCAAAGTTGGCGGTGGGTCTGATGAGTTGCACCTCGACCGCAGTCTCCCCCCCGCGTGCCAACATTGAACATTGGGGGAAGGGGAGGTGTTCACTAATTGTTTCCCTCTACCGTACCAGAGGGTCCATCGCAGAACCGCTCAGAAGTTTCGTTCGAACGGCACGATGTCTCTGTTGCACAAGCGGCGCGCGCCAATCGTGTGAACAGCGCTTCGCTGTTTCGCCTGATTTCGGAACCTGGGACCCTCCCAGCTCGGTCCGTTTTGAAAAATACCGCAGAAAGATGGAGTCCAGGGCTCTGGTGGTGTCGTTCCACGCTGTTGTGACGTTTCGCGTTGGCGGATCTCCGGATGAGGGATCCAGACGCAGACTTCCTCGGGATTGCGGAGGAGGCGGAAGAAGAAGAGCATCGAGGAGGAGGAGAAGGAGGAGCAGGAAAAAGACATTTGTTTCGTCTCGATTCTTCATTGGAGCGCTACCGCCAAGACGTTCAAATCCGCCCGACGTTAAAAGGGAAGAAGAGCGGATTTCAGGGGAGGGGCCCAGGCGGAGGGGGAGGAGCTGGAGCGTTTCCAGGAGGCTTCTCATCGTCACGGCCAGATTGAGTTCGAAATTCTCGCCAGAACGCACCACAGGATGGGTCTGGGGCATGCGTTTCTCATCCCTGAGGCTCAGGCCCCCATCGCGCTGCGAGCAAAAATGCGACGGAAGGGTGTGGGCCATGTTCGGCTTCCGGGGGCCCCTGCCAGGTCCCGGGGCCGTCGAGAAACGGCTCGGGCTGGAAAAGCGGCCCCAGAGAGAAGGGGTCGAGACCTCCAGGGGCCCGCGCCGTCAAAGCTCACGGCGTCGGAGGTCCTGAGGAGGAGGGAGGCGGGCTCTCCTCCTCCTCCTCCTCCTCCTCCTCCTCCTCCTCCTCCTCCTCCTCCTCCTCCTCCTCCTCCTCCTCCTCCCGCTTTGTGGGCTTCCAGGAGGCTTCCTGTCGCCACGGCCAGACTCCCGTCGATGTTCTGGTCGGAACCCCTCCCAGGACGGGTCTGGGGCTCGACCGGCGAGGCCCAGACTTCGAGGTGCGTGCTTCGCGTCTGTTTCACACCGGGAGGTCTCGCCCAGTTTCGAGGGCCCGGGGCCCACGCAGATCGGTCCGGCTCGAGAAGTGCCGCAGAAAGACGGGGTCTAGGGCTCTGGTCTTCACTCTTCACGATGCTGAATTGTTGCGTAACGTCGGATCTCGTGGAGGTAGGGATTGATGCAGGATGGCTCGCAGTATTTCCTCCTCCCCCACTAATGCGCAATTGAATCGGAACAGACGCGTGACAGAAAAAGTGAGGGAGTGTATGTTCATCCCGTTCGGCCAGGTTTCGATCAAGGTACGTGCATCGTAGACCACCCTTCGAATGTGAAGGAGGTCTGGGGATGGGGTTTAGGAACTCTGTCGGTTTGCACGATGGCTCGGTGGTTTGCGCAGCAGGCGCGTGGTTGTTTGTAAAGATCTGTATAATTGCGCGCCCTTCACCGACCTGTCTCTTCCCAACCTCCTTACCATTCAAAGATTGCATCATTCGGCTTGCGATTGGCCTCACCATGGATTGGCAACTCAGCCACACTTCGAGGTCCCCCAAATGATCGAACCCGTCGCATTTCTAAGTATTCGAGTTAATATAGCTCTCCCTGCATTTCTCGCCGCATTTAATGTGAATGAGTGCTGGTGGTGATGTAATGCTCCTTGTCACACCGTCAGGGTGTATTTGCCGCGATACCCAGAGAAGCTACAAGCACTGGGAGCAGGTGGCGTAGCAGTAGAGGGCCTCGATGGCTGCACTCGCAAGCTTTGGTGTACCGCATCTTAGTTTTCTAGCTGCCCATATCTGAACTATGCATCTTCCTGTGCAACAACTTAACCTACACTGTGCAACGGTCTACGACCGACCCTCGATATACTAGACACCATCTGCACACTTCTAGTTGCCCATCCATGCCCATCAATAATCAATCACTCTAACTCTCCCTTTTCGCCCTTGCCTTCTCGTGCCCCTCCTACCCATCCTCCTCCGCGTCCTCTTCGTCCGTCTTCTCATTGACGCTTCTCCCTCTTAGTCCCTGTACTCCTTCCTCCTCGCCTCGCCCTGCCCATTTCAGGTTCCTGCCTCCCCACCCCCGTCCTGCATCTTCACCGTGTGTTCGCACCTGGTCTTGTCACTGTCACTAATTCCCAGACCGGTTTGCGTGTTCACCTCTCACCGATCCATCGGTCCGGCTAACTACACATGCAGATATCTGCCCAGATGTAATGGCATCTCTATATATATATATATATATGCACAAATTCACATAGATACATACATACACACACATACATACATACATGCATGCATGCATGCATGCATACATACATACATACATACATACGTACGTACGTACGTACGTACGTACGTACGTACATAC